AATTTTATAGCGAATTTTGAAAGTTATCGATGAAACTTGCAACCTCGAAAATTTTATCGAAACTTTAAATGTTGTTTTCTCAAAAACTAAAAGTTATTTTTCAAAACNACAGTTTAGTCAACATGCTTAATTGGACTGGTGAACAACGTGGTTTTGCTGTTAAAACTTATTTAGAAAATATTCAAAGTTATGTGCAAGCACAACGGAAATTTCGCAAACATTTTCATTTACCGCCTCAAGCTTTTGTTGCGAGTAGGAAAGCCATTTCTGATTGAACGCTTAACTTAAAACAGGGAAAGGCGATGGTGTAAGAACTGTTAGGACTCCCGAGAATATAGAGACTGAATGAGTAGCAATTGTAAGTAGTCCTCAAAGATCTGCAAGGCGTCTTACTTGCTCTAGGACTTTCGACTTGATCAGTAAGAAGGATTTTAAATAATGAGTTACACCTACATTCGTACAAGATTCAAGTAGTCCTGTTCGCCTTGGTTTTTGTGAGCACATGATAGCATGATACAGATGTTTGAAGACAACCTACAGCTCATCGATTTGTGGATTATTTTATCACTAATTATTTTCACCTCAGCGGATATGTTAATAAACAAACTTTCGCTATCCCTCATTAACTCCACCTCTCCATTCGGCCAAAGTTACAGTTTAGTGCGATGTCTTCGAATAGTATAATTGACCTGTTCTTCTTTAAGAATGATGATGGCCATGCAGTTACCGTAACATCAGCGCGATGTGTTCGAATGCTGAAATCCTTTTTCATTTCACAAATGCCTATGAATGAGAATACTCATTTTCAACAAGATGGAGCAATTTGTCACACAGCGACAAGTATACACTGGCGATGTGTAGCGAAACTAGAAGGATGCTTATTTTTAAGTTTTATGCCCAATTGCTCGCATGCCACCTATATCTTTCTGTGCCCTGCCAGTATAACTAAAGTATTCATTGAAATATTTTAAATAATGTCCATAATACAGGGTGTTTCAGGTTTTTGTAGCAGGACTTTCACAGTCGATAGATCTTTTAAAATTACAGAAAACAAAAACTTCATACAAACAGGTGTTCAAATTAATTTTTTTTTATACATATTACACGTGCATTTTAACCGATTCTATCCACATTTGGTATACTGAGTTTTTTGACATGAGAAAGGATACGCTCTGTAACGTATTCTATACGGAATAAAATAACCATAACTTTTCTGAAACTATATTTCTTGGCTTTTTGAATAAAAATTCTTATTCTCTGTACTTTTTTAAACAAAAACGATACTCTTATCAAAGTGCGCTAAAGTTAATCGTTTTCAAGATAATCCGCTTTTTATTATTCGATATAGACCAATTTTTCTAGAGGATAGTTAAAGATAGTTAAAATAATGTGTGTCATGGAATCAAAGCAGGTAAGTTTCCTTCCGGGCTTGTGAAAGTACATAGACAAATAGTTGAACAAAAGCTGAATAATGACCATGTAGATCGTATTAATGACAATGTTAGACTGCAAAGAAATTTTAGAGTAAGAATATTGCGTGAGTTCGACAGAGACACCACTACAAGTATTAGAAGAGCCTTTTAACACATGATCATTTTGATCAATTTATATGCTTGTACGCATGAAAACTCCCACGCAATTCGGCCACGAAATTTTCAACATGAATTTATTGTCAACGTCTGGGTTGGATAGTTGGGTAGATGTTTATAATCATCATCTTTTCGGGCCTTACTTTTTGCCACCTCAATTAATCGCTGCGGTGTTCTTGCAATTTTTCGAACCCGAACATACCAATATGTGGGATGGCATTAATTTAGCTTTGAGAAGAAAGGCCTGGTTTCAACTTGATGGTTATTCAGCTCATCATGGTAGTGTGGTAAGAAATTGGCTAGAGCTCTTCAAATATTGTTTTCTCAAAAACTAAAAGCTATTTTTCAAAACGGGTTGGTCCATTGGAAAGAGGACACTCTTATTTATACTTTGGGAAATTTTCATACTCATATTCCAAGAAGTGGATTTTATACGAATTTTTAAAACTTAATCGACGAAAATTGCAAAATTCGAAAAAATTTTCGATTATTTCAAAAATTTATTTCTCAAGAACTAAAAGTGATTTTTCAAAACGGCTTTTTGCATTACAAAGAGGGTACTTTAATTAATAATTGGTGATATTTCCACAAGGATCGTTCAAGAAATGAATTTTATAGCGAATTTTGAAAGTTATCGATGAAACTTGCAACCTCGAAAATTTTATCGAAACTTTAAATGTTGTTTTCTCAAAAACTAAAAGTTATTTTTCAAATCGTGTTGGATCATTGAAAAGAGGACACTTTTATTAACACTTTGAGAAATTTTCATACTCATATTCCTAGAACAGGATTTTCTACGAATTTTTAAAACTTAATCGGCGAAAATTGTAAAATTCGAGAAAATTGTCGATTATTTCAAAAATTTATTTCTCAAGAACTAAAAGTGATTTTTCAAAACGGCTTGTTGCATTAAAAGGAGGATACTTTAATTAATAATTGAAAGTGATAACAGCGACAGTTCTGTTAGTAATGAATGTGATGATGAATTACAAATGAAGAGAAGAAAACTAGACGAAACTGCAACAAGAGATTTTATATATCGTATTGGGATTGTTACAATGAGCTTGCTAATGATAAATAAAGTTGTAATCAATGAAAAAAGTCCTATTGGTGTTGAACTTGATTATTATCTGCACTGTCCAACACCTAAAAAAGATACTAATTCCTGTAAATGGTGGAGTACTAACGAGGGGACCTTACGGGTTCGTCATCACCGATTTTGTTCATATTCATAGGGATTGAAGATCAGTACTCGGACATCATTTTCCTGAAGCAGTTCGATCCCATGCTGGAAAATATCCGAGAAAATCGATTTCAAAATTTTCAAAATATTTCGCAACAATAGAAATGCGGTAAATTGTATCTTCCATCATAATGCCGATTAGCCGAGTGGCGCGAGTGGGGCTTTGGACGCCCAAGGTCGCAGGTTCAATCCTTGCTGTTCGCTTTATTTTTTTTTATTTTTGCATTATTGATGATAATCATTATTTTTAATGATTATTAACAAATATTAAATAAATTCAAAAATAATATTAAAAACAATAGCATAATGTCATCTGTTCATTGTCAAACCAAATAAATAATCCAGATCACCCATACGGATGGCATAGTGTTGACAAAATAATTTATTTATTGTTAGGAGTATTATATAATATGAAATATATTAACAATACGAATAATATACGAACAATACGATAATAACAATATATGTACATATATTACATTACATTACATAGATTACATATGAGATAAGCGGACTAACCAACCTCGCGAAGCAAGGTATTGTTATCAAATTTTACCGTGCAGTCGCTCTTAACGAACATTAATACCTTGCTCGATAAAAGGTCATTCAAATCCTTTGGGGAGATAAACTGTCACCCAACAATCGAGAATCTGATACGGTTAACAGCAGGGCATGGGCAGTTCATGTAATATTGATTAAAAATAGTAATCTGTTGTTATTATAATTTATTGTTATATCTATATACAGGGTGCCCGGTATCTTTCGCATCAGAGCATTATACGGTTGTAGGATACATTTTCTGAAGCGATCTTTCTAATAAATTTTTTTCGAAATGTTTATAATAACCGCACGGGAACTGTTTAAAGTCATCCGCTATTGTCCAATGAACAGATGACATTGTGCTATTATTTTTAATATTATTTTTGAATTTATTTAATATTTGTTAATAATCATTAAAAATAATGATTATCATCAATAAAGAAAAAATAAAAAAAAATAAAGCGAACAGCAAGGATTGAACCTGCGACCTTGGGCATCCAAAGCCCCACTCACGCCGCTCGGCTAATCAGCATTATAAACGAAAATACAATTTACCGCATTTCTATTGTTGCGAAATATTTTGAAAATTTTGAAATCAATTTTCTCAGATATTTTCCAGCATGGGATCGAACTGCTTCAGGAAAATGATGTCCGAGTACTGATCTTCAATCCCTATAAATATGAACAAAATCGGTGATGACGAACCCGTAAGGTCCCCTTGTAAGTAATAATGTAACTATCCGGTATCCAACCGGATTTTAAAAAACTTCCGGTTAGGCCGGATACCGGATAATTGCCGGATATCCGTTCCACCACTACCATATTGTAACATTTTAAATCAAAAAACAATATAAATATGTAAGGGTTCTGAAATTAATTTGAAAATTCTGAAATTGACTTCAATTTCTGCAATTAAGCTTGCGTTTTCTGAACATGAAATAGAAGAGGTATTGAGAGATAAAAAAGTATAAAAACTTTTAAACTTTGTAATACATGCATAGTAACCTGGAAGATTTAAGTTGTTACTTGATTTTTTGATCTTTTGCAAGGTCAATTGGTCTTTTGCAAGGCAACAATTCGTCAAATTTGAAAGAAACATTTATATGTATTCTTTAAAGAAACATTCCTTTTTATTAAAGTTTTTAATTATTAATAGATCATTATATTTAATTACATAATTAGATTGTAATTCGCATTTAGGGAACAATAAATTCATTATGAATAATCAAAGAATGTATCTCTGTTAACAATTATTAGACAAATTTGTTCCAGTGAAAATAATTATATACTATTTTAAACTCATTTATAAAGTATACCAGGCGCAATGTTTTTTTTTTGGCTTTGATACTTCGGCATCTAAGGATATACATTAATTATTTAAATAATATTTCATTTAATAGTAATAAATAAAATAAATAATAAAATCGAGCGCCATCTATACGTAATAAATTGAATTTTAATTTAGTAATCTCTTTTCTTTTATTATTTTCTATTAATTTAATAAAACCGCACGTTCGATTTTCCTCATAGTAAACTAAAATTCAATAATAAATCAAAATATTAATCGATAAATTAAAAATTAGTTTTGATATTTAATGTTTCCTGTAAACAATGTTGGTAATGCAGAATTTTCTTGTCAAAACAAACATAACCTCAAAAAGATCGTTATTGAGTCGTTAAAAACCCGGGTAAGTTTTTGTTCTTAATATTTAGATTAATACTATATAAATAATAGCTAATTTTTGTCTGTTTATAGTCAATTTATCATAACCCTGTTTAAAAATGTCAAAAGCACACCCGCCGGAATTAAAAAAGTTTATGGATAAAAAACTGAGTTTAAAGCTGAATGGTGGACGGCAAGTTGTGGGTATTTTAAGAGGTTTCGATCCTTTTATGAACCTGGTGGTGGATGAGACGATTGAAGAATGTAAAGATGGGTCAAAAAATAATATTGGAATGATTGTAATTCGCGGAAATAGTATTGTAATGTTGGAAGCGTTAGATCGAGTATAATAAGAATTTTTTTAAATGTAAGTTATGATTTTGTAAGCTTAGATATGAATAAATAAAATATATTCGTATAAATTTTGTTTTGTTGGTAACTTTTTTTTTTTTTGGGGTGTTTTGTTGTTCTTGGGTTGACAATATTGAAGTGTATAATTTTAAAAAAATTAAAGTGATGAGTATTAGTAATTAATTTGAATGTTTTAGTTTATTTATTAATATAAATTGTGAATTATTCTTTTAAAACGTTCTAAAATCTATTTTTATCGAATATAAAATTGTGAACGCATGCGCCCTCACATTTCGAAGCGGTAAACCTTCGAACTTCCGTGCCGGCCCAAAGCTCACTACACATAACAATTTCTCAGTGCTCGATGAGACTTTTACGCGCGTGGTCGTGTGTCTCTTTGAGCTCTAGCCATCTCGCTCAAACGTACACGCGCGAGATAACGTTCTCCTTCCAAAGAATATAAACGCGATTCTCGCGTTATATCGATAAACACAAAGTTAAAAGAACTTATCGTCAATAAACTAATTTAAGATGAAGTGCTTCGTATTTTTATTATTTGTGTGTTTCAACTTGTATGTGGTGTCTTGTAAAAATACCGCCGAAGGTGGTAGACACTATGCCGCGGCCGGGTCTTCAACGTTATTGTTGAGTAGACAGAAACGTAATAGCAATAGTGGTCAGCAAACACAGCAAAGTGCCCATTTCGCTGATAAAAACTGTAGTAAAATTCGGGAAAGTTTTCCGTTTTTAGATCAGGTCGATGTTATTAAAACTAACACTAAAGGTAAGTAAGTACGGGGGATACCCCTCGAAAATACATTAATAAAAATGAAAATTTTGATTGCTTTTTTAACTTAAACTTATTTAACTAAAATAGTTTGAAAAATATTACAATATTTAGCTTACACATCAAGAATATTACAGCTTGAGAATCAACGTGAACAATTTTAAGAATAGATCTACTCTTATCTATATCTATTTACCTATTTGGTAACACAGATATTGTTATCTAAAAATAACAGTTTAGATGTTCTCAGCACAACTCTTAATATAACTTTCACACGTTTCTATCTCAAACAATACTTTTTTTTAAGATAATTTCAAATCGAAAGCATTAAAATGATGCGACTCAACTTAAGTTTTAAGTATTTTCAGTGTGAGAGAGGGTCGAAATGTTTTCTGAATATAAATTACTTTATTCCTTTTGTGAGTTTCCAAGAATACCTGTGAAAAATGGTGCGTCCGGCCTTACCCTGCGGTCCCTTGAGAACACTACCACAGACCATGGTCTGTGTAATGGTGAATAGTCACTTTTATATACCGACCGGGTTTCATCGAGAACTAAGAACTTCTTCTTCGGTTATGGTCTCACTCCTTTTGAAAGACACATTGAAAACAGAAATGGATTTAGATAAATTTCATTCGTACCTTTGAAATTTTAGAAACGTTTTTTACCAAAAAATAAAGTTATACTCTAAAAATAAAGGAAAAGAACTTACAGTAAAACTTTCTAATTCTTGGTCTAGTGTGAGTTCAATAAAAAGATACAATCTAGCAGGGAATAACAACTAAAGTTAGAACTAGCACTAGAACTAACACTAGATCTAGGACTAGAAACATTCTGGTTTACGGACTCAAAATCTATTGATAAGAAGTAGATTTGCTGGTAAAATGCACTATAATTCAGAATGGGTAACTACTGTCACCCATATAACATTACTATATAACATTAATCTTTTCTGCCTAAGATCACTCATTCTGCCAACTATAATATAACAGGAATAGATGATGGGTGAAACTATATACAGGTGTCCCAAAACTCATCGTCAAGCGGGTACTGGGTGAGAGACCAATCAATACCAGTTCTGGTAAAAATAAGAAAAAAATTCCATGTCATCATGTAGATCATATCTTTAGGTATTACGGTCAGAAATGTTTGGAATTTGATAGTGATTTTTTAATAATGTAATACTTATTAACCATGCTACTATAGAAGTCACAAATCAAACGAAAAAAGTCGTTAGTTTTGCGAAAAAATGTTAGTTTGATTGAGTTGAGGTTGAAAAAAATTACGTCTATTTAGTTTGACACACAATTTCTAAAAACAGGAGCACGACAGTACCCTTGGCAAGCGATTTTAAAAGATTCCAAAATGGTACAACACGTACCATTTATCTTTTCATAAAAAATATTATTACCAGTTTTTCTGCAAAAAGTAGTCTCCTGTCGGCAGACTGGAGACAACGCACTGAAGATGCCAGGTGATATCTTGACGAAACGTCTGCTCCTTTCCAAAGGGAACCAACAGGAAAAAAATCTCGGACCGACCACAGCAATACGTATATTTTTTATTATAAACATTATAATCTGATCACAATTGATGGGTTCAAACTCAAGTAAGGTTCTGATCAATAAATCACCTCGGGTTCTGATAATTGAAGTACACTAATTTTACATGTAACTATCGCACAAGTACTCTGCTTTTCACTCACTTCACTAAATTATTTCGCAAGGATAAACACAATATTAATGTTAGGCATAAACATACACTGACGATAACTCACCACCGCTCAGAACTATTTAAACGTAGTTTTTCTTACTGTATGCCTAACATGTATAACTTGCTACCTGATTCATTCAAAGGTCTTGGTCTGATTTCCTTCAAGAGCAAAGTTAAGGTGTTTTTGAGTGAGGTGTTGAATGATACATTTTGGTTTGTTATTATTATTATTTTTGAAGAGGAAAAGAAAGAAAAAAAAATATATATTTTTTTGAATTTAATTTAGTTTCTCTGTTAAGTCATGTCGCTTTGGTTTTTTTATTGACTTGAATCGTTCGGTTGTACCTTTTTGATTTTGTTGTTGTATTCAAACGAAAAACAGAGTGATCAGGAGACTATTGCTCTTGGTCGACCTGACATGACCCTCTTTGATCAGATTTAGACACATCTGATTAATTTCTTAATTTTATTTGTCTTTATATTACTCTTTGTTTTATTTTGTTTCTTATCTGATCAATAAACATCTTTATTATTATTACAACACTAGCTCGAAGGGTTTAGTCCTCTTCAATCTTCTTGTGAAATTGGTGTTACCGAGGAGCTGGAGTGCCTCAGCATTCACGTGTTGGAGAAGTCGTTGTTCATGACGTCCCGCGATTTTGGAAATTATTTGATTAACTGTCTCTATTTCAATGTCTTTGTGGGGATCACAGTTGCAGAAGTACCAAGGTGCATCGACCATGGCTCTCAGTGCTTTGTTTTGTAGTCGTTGAATGATTTGAATATTACTTTTAAGCCGTATAACCATGCTGTCTTTAGTACTTGCTTAAAAAGCAACAGTTTATGCTAGATGGGTAAGTTGGTGTTTCTTCAAAACAGCCAGTACATTTTTCTATATTTTTCACATGAGCTTGCGTCTAAGGTCATGCCCAGATATTTCGCCGAGATAGCATGTGGGATCTGGGCATCATTTATTCTGATTATGGGTATATGCTGTATTAATTTATTTGTGAAGTCTACTTGTATAGACTTGATTTCATTCAACTTGATACGCCAAGTTCTGGCGCAAGTATTTATTTTATCCATAGACGTAATTTTTCAGCGATGATGGGCGTCCTTATTTAGAAAGAAAAGTATTTCGTATTTCTCGGTAGGGGAACCAACATCATTCCTACGTTTGGTAATCTATGGACATGAATTCTGAAAAGACTGCATCTTATTATACATTCTTATATGAGGAACATATTTAATTTCTGCCTCTTCAACCAGCACTTAAAATTGGAAGATTCATCATCGTGTGAGATCCAAAAAAAAATTGTTTTGTATCATTTTATATCTGGATATCACTTGTTCCTATTAGTGAAAAATTATTGAGGTTCACTTGAAAAATAACGACAAAAACCAACAAATATAGTTGGTAGAATTACGTATTAACCCTTTCCAGGTTTGGTTTAGAATCTCTAAGTAGCATGGTTGCAAAGACGTTAATCTGCTTTTCAAGCTAAATAAATTGTTAGCTCAATTTATCTCCTGAACCTGATAAATTACCGTAAGATGGGGTTACTTGGACACGTTTTTGCACATTTTTTAAGATTAAAAGTGAAGAAATAAAGTTAGGGCAACAGAAACTTGTTCATCATACCAACCTAACCTTCAGGATTATATAGCTATCATAAAACATTGAAAATACCTTATACAAACAACAAAAAATATATAAAAAAGTGATGTCCGAATCGCACCGTTGTTGGGGCCTCTTGGACACTAATTTCGTTTTAGGGTCAATCTCTTACTTTGCATGTCATATGGTCAAGTTCTCCTGAAAATGTAAGTGATGCATTAAGGAATGTATTTTTATATAAAACATTCTGATGAACAGGTTGTTTCTAGCGATGTCCAAATTTGGACATGACTGTTGTTGTTGAAGACCTTGACGTGCTTCCCTTGATTATCTAGGTATTTTTTCACCATCTCGAATGTCGGACTTACTTAAAACAGTTGGATGTTCAACGGGTCTTGAATTCCTTCCAAGCATCTTCCGGACAACATTGTCCGAGGCACTTTGAACGTTTCTGCATCTGCACCCTTTTGAACTGCATCTATAGGCTTTTCCAAGTCTTCCACTTTGTAATTCATGTAGGGTTTTAACCCTGGAGTTTTTTAACATAACAAGAAAAATATAAAAACATAACCTCGCTTTCGTGACATAGGACTGAACGTATGCGTTGTGTACATGTAGCCCCGGGGTGGCCAAGTAGCCCCATCTTACGGTAGTCTATTTCATATCGTTTGTTATCAGATAAACTTAAGAACTGCTGTTCTCATACAAGTTCTCCCTATCTCTCTATAATTTTTATTGTCATGACACCCACAATAAAAACCCGAGAATATTTGATCAGAACGACTACACTTTGCTCTACGTCAACGAGATTGACCTGGTTGGGTTGGTATTTAATAATGTAAGTTGGTCAATTTTACTGAGAACTGATTCCTCAAATGGCGTGTAACTATCAATATGATCAAAACACAACTCTATGTTTCTCTACTCAAAATCCACGATCTCTATGTTGAGACGACTAAGCCCGAATGTTTCTAGTTCTAGGTCTAGTGTTAGTTCTACTTTTAGTTCAATGAAATCTAACGCTGAATAACAACTAAAACTAGAACTAACACAAGACCTAGATCTAGAAACATTCGGATTAGCTGCATATCTGTCAAGATGGCTAAACCCGAATAATTCAAGTTCTAGGTTTTGTGTTAGTTCTAGTGATAGTGCTAGTGCAATACTAGAACTAACACTAGACTTACAACTAGAAACATTCGGGTTTAGCCGCAATTCTCTCAAGAAGGCTAAACCTGAATGATTCTAGTTCTAGGTTTTGTGTTAGTTCTAGTGATGGTGCTAGTGTAAAACTAGAACTAACACTAGACCTAGAACTGGAAACATTCGGATTTAGCCGCACGTCTCTTAAGACGGCTAATCCCGAATGTTTCTAGTTCTAGTGTTAGTTCTACTGTTAGTTGAATGAAAATATACAACAATCTAGCGCTGGATAACAATTAATACTGCTTTATACAACTCGGGGAATACCCCCCGTTTATCTATGAATATGGAATAGAGCAACTTGGAGAATAACTCGAGTTGGATGCTATCTTTGGGCACACATAGGCAACATTTATACATGTATTTAAATAGATTATATTAATAGTAGAACTTCAAAATATTTTGTCTGTTATATCCAAAATCCGTTATATTGAGGTTTTACACTACGTTACAAATTCTTTAA